AGATCTCACATGGATGAAGATTATCCAAATGGCAGTTAAATTAACAAAAAAAAAATTTTTTTCTCTAATAGAAGGAAGGTATTTGATTATTGAGCGAAACAAAAGAAGTGTCAATATTTTTGTTCATCAACAGTGGTACTTTTTCATTTCATAAACTCCAGGAATTGAAAAATCCACTCTTCGGTTACCCAATTAAAAATTTTCGGGAACATCTATTTCAGGACAAATCAGATATTATTGATAGACACCCAAGCCACAATTTTTCTTGCGCAAAAAAATGCTTGGGATGAAATATCTGCTCAATGGGCCGACAGCGAATGATATTTCACACCAAGAGCCTAATTCCACCACTCTTGCTCCCTGGATTGCTACTTGCAAAGTCGGATATAAAAAGGTCAATAAAATTATGAATATTATTAACTGTTGATTCTATTAAATTCCATTAATAAAATAATTAAAAGAAGGTGAAATATAAAACTGACAAGAACCGAAAAAAGAGATTTGCATTTTGAAGTGTTTTTACAATTTTAAAGGAAAATTTTATTAGGCTAAGCTGGTGTGGTTTCTAAGATAACAATATTCTTTAAGACAATATTACATATAGACATGACATTAACTTGAAATTGATAAAAATCCCAATGTGTCCCTTTCTGCTCAGTGCATCCCATATATTTTTTTTCATTGAAAATAATGAAATCATCTCTTAAATAATTTTATTCTAAAAGGTATAGGGATGCAGGATGGAATGCTTATTTAGATAAATTAAGAAGATCAGGAAAAGATCAAATGGTATAGAAAAAGAGAAGGTTGAGGGATAAATAACGATGTCGACAAATGAATTTATTAAATTAAAAATCTAACTTCCATTTATCTGAACTATCTGAACTAATCAATTTTTTGATGACACGTGATTAAAGTATTACTGATAAAAAATTTTATAACGTGCATTATTTATTATTGTCACTCACTACCTTATTGTCATCAAAAGAAAAAAAATGTTAAAATCGATTATTAAAAAACCTTCTCCAATTATTTTTACTGGAGTAAAACAAGTAATAAATAATCTTTGATTATTATGAAATATATGATAAATTGACATGTTTGTTTTTATTTAAAAAAATTAGAATTTTTTTCGTAGCTTAACTTCAATTGTACCGCCAATTGCCGAGGACACCATTGTAAATATAAGCTATTCTTTTAAATAAAATATAAAAATTATAATTAATCAATAAATAAAAACATGCACGCATACATGCATACATAAATTATTAGAAGAAAACCACTAAATATGGAGGAAAGTATACTGTCACATTGATCCCAGGAGATGGTATCGGGCCAGAGATTGCAGAATCAGTTAAAACAGTATTCAAAGAGGCCGAAGTTCCAATTGAATGGGAACAATATAATGTTACTGGATATACTGAAGATAGCGATTTGTTATTTCAACAAAGTATGGAGAGTTTAAGAAGAAATAAAGTTGCATTAAAAGGTATGTTTTAATATTGTTTTTTTAGAATTATTATTAAATAATTAATGAATTATATTAATATTTTTTTTCTATTGATCAATGGTGAATTGGTTAATTGATTACTTGGTTGGTTGGTTGGTTGGTTGATTGGTTGATTGGTTGATTGAAGGAGTAATTTATACACCCACAAAAAAAGACGATCATCCATCTTTTAATGTTGCGATGCGTAAAGATTTAGACATTTATGCATCATTGGTATTAATAAAAAATATTAAAGGATATCCAACACGTCACAAAGATGTAGATTTTGTTATTATTCGTGAGAATACTGAGGGAGAATATGCAGGGTTAGAACATCAGGTACTTTACATGCAAATAAATATACATTATTCATAAATATACTAATAATAATGACAATGTTTGTTATTATTATTTGTTTTGATAGTCATATCCTGGAGTAATAGAATCATTGAAAATTACAACCAAAGAAAAAACAGAACGAATTGCACGATTTGCATTTGATTTTGCACTTAAAAATGGACGCAAAAGAGTTACATGCGTTCATAAAGCCAACATTATGTATGATCTTCTTAGTTTAGAGATTATAAATATATTTTATATCCTATATTTAGCATGTATATATATGACAAAAAATGCTAATCGAGCCCATTTACATTTTGTATTTATATAGGAAACTTGGAGATGGATTATTTTTAAATACATGTCGTAAAATTGCAGAAGATTATAAACCATTGGGAATTGAATTTAATGATATGATAGTTGATAACTGTTCTATGCAACTTGTATCCAAACCACAACAATTTGACGTTATGGTAATGCCTAATTTGTATGGAGCAATTGTAAGCAACATTGGTGCAGCATTGGTTGGTGGACCGGGAGTTGTTCCAGGTGCAAATATAGGTAAAGAATATGCATTATTTGAGCCGGTAAGATTTTTATTTTTTTATTTTTTATAAAAAAAGAATTTATTTATAATTTATAAAAAATTATTAGGGTGCACGTCATGTCGGTAGAGATATTCAAGGAGATAATAAAGCCAACCCAACAGCATTTATTCTTTCAGGAGTATTGTTGTTAAGACATTTAGGACTTGATGATGATGCTAATAGAATTTATAATGCAGTAATTAAAGCAATACTACATGGATCGGTATGATTTATTGATGTCTAAATTATGTGAATTTATTTGAACTACATGGTTAATTAATTATTTTTTTTTTTCTTTCCAAAAATATAATTTAGGCCAAAACTCGTGATATGGGTGGCAATTCGACAACAACAGAATTTACACGTGAAGTTATTTCTAATTTGTAGAGAAATAAATATTTATTTAGTTATTTATTATATTTTTTAATTTAAATAAATCAAAAACAATAATAATAATAATACACAGCGAGTCTCGATTTAACGGATATTTTTTTCCGGAAAATTTATCCGTTAAATCGAGAGATCCTAATCCGCTAAATCGAAACTTACGATCAAATCATGTGATACAAATTAAATGTGTAACAAAAAAAATTTTTTTATTTAAAATAATTTTGTATATACATAAAAAACAATATATCACAATAATATCAATAATTCATCAATGCAACATTGTTTGCTTCTTGGGTGCTTCTATAAGAAATTTTCTTTTTTTAACTTCAATATATTTTCTAAATATTTTTGTTGTATATATTTAAGCTCATTTTCAGCCATTTATAGCTTCTGTATTTGTTACTTATCTTATCAACACCCTCATTATCTTCAACTTCAGGTTGCCCCAACACTATGTTTACAATTTCTTGTTCCGTCATTTCATAATAAATTCGTCAGCATTTAAAGAAATAAAAAAATGACATTATATATATGTGTCATTGCCAAGAAATAGTTGTTAATTACGCTTACGCTTATTATTATAAAATTAGGCTATCCAAAAAAGGCAAGAATCATCATTATCCGTAATATCGAGAGAATTTTATTAGAAGTGACATATTAATATATGGATTTTTAAAAAATATCCGCTAAATCGAATATATATTATTATTATTATAGAAAAATTTGGTTTTGAAAATTTATCCGTTAAACCCGCTAAATCGAGATCCGTTAAATCGAGACTCACTGTGTAATAAACTAATATAATCATGTTAAAAATTTTTCTTACAATGTTATTCATAATTGACCCAATTTTTTTTAGAATTATATTTAATATTAATACGGCAATATCAAGGGAATACCATGGATCTCAAAGTCTCCCAAAATGAATCAGATCGGATCAAATCATAATTCAAATTTAAAAAACTCGATTAGTCCTTGACTCGAGTTTAAAATACATGTAATTGTTACCCGCAGAGTAACTTTTGAGTATTCCGTGGTCAAAGTCGGACAATTTCTTGCCGATATGCAAAAAATATAATAAAAAAATTCATTGACCAAACCAACAAAATCATCTTTTAATTTGAAAGCTCATAATAATAATTGCTACATCTTCCATTTTAATTAAACTACTGCTTATCTACCTTTCATTCGCGCACCTAATTGAATTGATCTTTATTTCAAAAAAATTTGTTACCAAATCTTTATCATCTTTGTAAAGAGATTCCCTTTGTCCGATTCATTTGACTAATAGCGTTTTAAATTTCCTATATAATCTCCTCAAGATCTCACATGGATGAAGATTATCCAAATGGCAGTTAAATTAACAAAAAAAAAATTTTTTTCTCTAATAGAAGGAAGGTATTTGATTATTGAGCGAAACAAAAGAAGTGTCAATATTTTTGTTCATCAACAGTGGTACTTTTTCATTTCATAAACTCCAGGAATTGAAAAATCCACTCTTCGGTTACCCAATTAAAAATTTTCGGGAACATCTATTTCAGGACAAATCAGATATTATTGATAGACACCCAAGCCACAATTTTTCTTGCGCAAAAAAATGCTTGGGATGAAATATCTGCTCAATGGGCCGACAGCGAATGATATTTCACACCAAGAGCCTAATTCCACCACTCTTGCTCCCTGGATTGCTACTTGCAAAGTCGGATATAAAAAGGTCAATAAAATTATGAATATTATTAACTGTTGATTCTATTAAATTCCATTAATAAAATAATTAAAAGAAGGTGAAATATAAAACTGACAAGAACCGAAAAAAGAGATTTGCATTTTGAAGTGTTTTTACAATTTTAAAGGAAAATTTTATTAGGCTAAGCTGGTGTGGTTTCTAAGATAACAATATTCTTTAAGACAATATTACATATAGACATGACATTAACTTGAAATTGATAAAAATCCCAATGTGTCCCTTTCTGCTCAGTGCATCCCATATATTTTTTTTCATTGAAAATAATGAAATCATCTCTTAAATAATTTTATTCTAAAAGGTAATTGTACTGAAGAATTATTAATACCATTAGAAAATGTAACGTTTTTTTCAAAACCAATATCATATAAATTTTTTGGTAACAATTGATTTAAAACCTCAAGTGTTTCATCACCATCTATTCCACTATTCCAAGTTAATTTTCTTAATTCTATGTATTTTAATTTTTTGCAATCATTAATTATTTCAATTAATTTTTGATCTAAATTGTTATTATAGCTTATTCTTAAATCCTCTAGGTTATGGCATTTTTGCTTAATTGAATTTAATAGTTCTTTTGAATAATTTATATTTCCATCAATATTTATGGTTATAAGGTTTTCTCCATTGTTTTTGATAAATTCTGACAGGTCTAACAGAAAAGGTTTTTTATAATTAAATACTTCCACAACTTCAATAGTTGGAAGTGAAACAGATCTTAAATACTCTGTATGAATATTTTTATAATTAAAAAATTTTAAGCATTTTAAATTTTTTAATGCTGGTATTAATAAATGATCAAAATGAATTCCTCCATCACTTGAATATTCAATTATTGATTCTGAATGAATTAATAATGCTTTTCTGAGTTCAGCTGATAAAGTTAGGTCTGTTAATGCAGAAATAACCAACTTTGTGATTCGATTTTGTGCTTTAATTAATTGTGCCAGATTATAATCATTTCCATTATTAATAAAATCATTATGACGCAATCTTAATACTTTAATGTTTTTACAAGTTTGTGCCAATTTATCAAATAATTTATTATTATCAAAAGATTTACATTGTAATTCACAAAGATTTTGAAAGCAAATACTAAATCTAGGATGATTAATTGGCCATTCAGAAACAATGCCATAATCAAAACCAGTAGTTCTAAGTATTCTGATAGTTTTTGAATAATCTAAAATAAAGTCTGTCGACCTTTTCTTTAAAAGACTAATTGTTGTAGGATTATAGCCACCTATTAGCTTTGTAAATTTATTGTCAATCTCCCAAAATTTTAAATCAGTTGCAAACTTTGCATAATTGTATAATGGTGGATTTTCAAGTAATTCAAATTTATCTAATTCGATGTTGTTGTTTTTTAAAAATTCTTTATCTTCTACCAACAAACAATTAATTAATATTTTGATACTATCGGTAGAGTACAGCGGATCTCTCCATAAAGTTGAAATGTTGATATGGTGCCATAATTTATTAACAAGAATGCAAGAATATAGCGTTTTATAATCATCTTTGATATATGTAAATGTTTCCTTTAAAAGTTCTAGTGGTAAAGTTTTTCGAAACATTTTTTTTTGGTAAAAAAAAAAAGAGAATTATATTTGTATATTTGTGTTATAATATATCTATTTTAATAAATTTCAAGATTTCTCATTTATCATATCATCGCAATTATATATATATATATATTAATATATAACAATTTCAAATTTAAAAGAGTTGATCGTCACACTTTTACTGGATAAAGAATTTAAGTATCTATCTCGATTTATTACATGCAATGCCATGTTTATAAGTTGTATATATATAAATGAAATGAATGAACTGTATGTAAAGCATAAGTGTTTTCATGCGAAACATGTTTATAATATATTATAATGAATTTCTTCGGGATTAAATTAATGAATGAAAATTAAATTCATAATATGCTAGTGTCACATGCTCCCACTTTTATTCGACGTTGGGAAAAAAATCGTGAAAATCTGAATTTCTTCAAGTGCTACGCCCTGGTGGGAAAAAATCGTTTTGCGGAAAAAAATTTCACCGTATGCGGACGATTTCCGGGTAGGTCTGACCTTTGTCCCTGTGTTCGGAGGGATACAGCTTTAGCCTGGCGAGGGATAAATATAAATGCACGGATATATCTCTGATCACCTGGTCGTAGATCTTGAGTGAATTATCCGACCGATACCCAAAGATCGATAAGGGGGGATATCCCGCTTATATGTTTTCCCAGACTGAGGCTCTATCCCTACGAACTGAGTGATAAAAGATGTAATCTTTCGGAAATTGTCCGCATGGGCTGAAAAACTTTGCTGATTATTTCCTTTTCAAGTTAAGTAGATTCGTTTAACCTATTATAGGGCTCACTTGCGCACAATCAATGATTTTCACTATAATCGTAGAAAAACGATTTGTGTTGTAATTTCTTTAATTCAACGGCAAATTGAAACGATATGGAATTTGACTATGCAATAATAATTTCTTCACATTCTTCATTCACTGTCAAGGATAGTCAACAAGCATTATTTACAAAGTTTTTAAATAAATGCTGAAATTCTCATTCAATTGTTAACTTTCTTGAATATTAATCGGATTCTAAGGCCCAATATTGCTATTTGACACAAATAAATAATATGGAGCCCGAATTCAGAAGTAACACAGGACTCCAATCTCATAATTTTTTTTGAGATAGCAGAAAAACATCATCATGATAAAGTTAAAATTAAAGTTTAATTTTGAAATAATAAAACGCAATTATATAACCAGCTTAGAAAAAATTATTAAGATAAATTATCAGCTAAATACTTACATATGCTTATATCCTCTCTTGCATAAGCCAGATGAGTCAGGTTTTGATAGTTCTATAGCGGATTTTGAAAATGCCGCAAAGTATTATGGAATGGGAGGGAAAGTTTTAGAAATAGCAGGAGAATCCAAAGATGCTATAGATTTTTTTTTGATAAGGCAATAGAATTGGGCAAAAAACAAGCTTGTGGAAATAATCGCTTGTGTGATCTTTATTATCATAAAGCTATTTCTCAAAAGAATGCAGGTAAATGTGAAGAAGCATTGGACTCGATTGAAAAAGCTATGAGATGATATTACACTAAAGCTGGAATATTACAATTATTAAGCGAAAACAAGTAAGCATTAAAAATTTAGATAAAGTGAAAAGAAAAAGAATTCAAAAATACAGAAAGAAAATCCTTCTGATGCATTGGTAAAAATTTAACCAAAGCAAAAAGAATATCATTTCTTTCTAAAGACAAAGAAGATGATGATAAATATCAACAAAACAATAGTTATCCTGACCATTTCAAAAATGTGGTGGGGAAGAATTCAGAGGATCAGATAGATGAACTACTCTCACTAATAATAAAAGATAGTAAAAAAGATAATAAAACAAATTCAACAAATATTGAAACATAATCTCCATGTTTGGTGTAGTTAACAGCCATAAACATTGAAGGAAAAAAAACAAGCTACCATGGACAATTCTTACATTTATTCTTCAATTATACCAGAGATTAGAAGCAATAAAAAACTATATGTGTATTATCATGATTTATGCATAATTTTACCAGAGCTTACATTTTTGTTGAAACAATTTCAGAGGGTGGTGTAAAACTAAATACAAGCAACATTTTGTAGAGGTTGAACTCTGTCAAATTTTGCTTATTCCCACAGTCGATGAAATTTTATCACAAACAGCCAACATTGATTGGATGTCATTAGTCAGAATATAATAATAAAAGTCTCCGAAAACATGAGTCGGCTTACTCCATCAACTAGTGAACTTGAATTCAATAGTTGTAAATGTGATAATTGAAGTAATAAAAAAACAGAAGAGAAACTATGTTAAATTATAAGGAAGATATCCATTATATTAATATTGGATATTGGACAAATTTTCTACACCATAATTTAAGCAAATATTATCACAAAAGATATTCAACTGCAGTGTTGTGCAATTGGAACATTGTAACACTATTGGAATGTTCCAATGTGGTTCCAATGTAGACCTTCAATTGATATTGACCAATAAAAATTGTGTGGGTGTCACTGTAATTGAATTTCATTGGTTAACTCCATTGGAACCACATTTGGAACATTCCAATTCCAATTGGAATTTGTTTAAATGTTCCAATGAAATTTTATTGGAACCATAAATGGCACAACACTGCATTACATATGTTCATTATTTGTTGGACATTATGTGCATTTTAAAAAATTCAGTGCGCATTATGCATTATGCAATTTTGCCCATCCCTAGTAATAGGCCACTTAACTTTTAAGCATTTCTATTATAGTGTTGCTATGATTGTTTCATTTCATCAATTAATATTATAATAAATTAATAACCTATAAATAATTATAAATCAGTCTCTTATAATTAAAGTCATAATTTTTCTAATACAACCTTTCAAGTAGTTATAAGTGACTTTGTAGGGAACACTTTGGCTCAATTGTTGCCGCTGAATTTGTTTTAGTCTGCATACTAGTTGGAAGAAAATCTTAAAATAAGTGTGAAGAAAAGAAATGCTTCTGACCTAGCGTAGAATAACCAATATTTAAGCTAACCTTTTCTTTTAATGGTTGTTAGAAAGTTCTAGTCTGGCTCTAAAAATTTTTATCATGGTTGAAAATTGCTTGCTATATGAAAAACGGAGAATTTTTTTTTGAAGTGGACGATAATAATTTTATTCGTGTAACGTTTATATTGAATGACATTTGATTTGCAATGAGAATATTTCATTACCAAAGTCCTCAACAGCAGTCTCGTCTATAAAAGCAATTACTCAACACGTAAACAACATCAGGAAAATTTTCTAATGCACAACCTTATGTATAAGTTATTATAATATATTATTTACATGTTATATTTATATTTTAATAATTTATATAATTTATATATAATTTATTTCTATTAGTCGCGTAACAATGATTCGTTTAACTATTGATCTATTTTTTGAAGACAAAATGTTGTTATTATATACAATAAGAACTATTATTAATAGTACGCGTAACAATGATTCGTTTAACCATAGACAAATGTTATTATAAGGATTATTATTATCATTATTAGTATCATTCATTACTAGTCGCAGGACATTGCAAAAGAAAAAGAGATGAAATTTCTGAAATCTTTTTTTCGACATTTTTTTCATCTTAAAAGTTTTTCATTTTTTCATTTTTGATTATATCATATAGTATTAAGAATATGTAAGTATAAAATAAGACGAGTTATAAACCGATTATAGCCTACATTTCTTTTATTAGCCATATTTTTACTATTTTATCTTGAAAAAGAAAATTTTATAACATAGATATTTTTGGATTCGCGCACGTTTGTACAAACATTTTTGGGGTATTATTATTATCTATCAATAAAGCATACGACATCTTAGCGTGCGACATTCTCGTTAGACCGTCCTAGGAAATGTCCCAATAAATGATAATAATAATAATAATAATAATGATAATAATTTTGTCCCTCGTGACATCTATTTTTTTGATTCTCGATTCAACAACTTCCCACACAAAACAAAAAATAATTCAACGAATATGATGTCGACTAAAGAAAATTTGAAATTCAGTAATAGTAATAGTAATAAAAATAATAATAAAAAAAGTAGCGTTGAAAATATTAATAATAATCGCAATAGCAATAATAATAATACCAACAATAATATCCAAAATTTAGAAAATGCAAAACAAAAGCGTAACTTTGCAACGTATTTTTTGTACAAGCTTACCGAAATAGCAGCATATACTTCTGCAGTAGTTTCAGAAGCATACCAAATATTTGATAAAACCTTAAGGGCAGGTGAAGACGATAATGGTAATAACTCATTTTATGATATGTATGATGAAGATAATGTATTGGTAATTGTAGATGGCTATGAAACAGATTTAAATGATGATGAGTTGAGTGATAGTGAACTTGAAGATAATAATAAATCTACAATCAATAAAATTAAAATTAATAATATTAATAAAAATAATGGTCATAACATACATCATAAACATAACAGAAAAGTTTCTTGCTCTTGGTCAGTTAATGATGAAGATGAACCACCACCACCTTATGATAGTTCTTGGACTATAGTTAGTTTATTGATTTCCCATTTTCCTTTTTAATATTTAAATATGCCTTTTAATAATAAAATCAACTCAAAATTATAATATAATAATATTTATAAATTAATTTTCCTTAGCCTGCAACATCAACAGACAAAATTTCAACATCACCCAAAAAAAAATCATTTTCAACTCCTAAAAATGAAGATCAATCAAAAGGTACTTCTTCTATCTCTGCTACACCAACACATCGTAGGCAAATTCGTGTACGTCGTGGTCGACGATTATTTAGACGAAGAGCTTCTTCTAATGAACTTAAAAGCAAACAGAGAACGAATGATGGAGACAGTGAATGCACAAACCAAGATGAATTGTTACTTAGAATTAACCAAAAATTGTCAGATATGATAGCTCAAGGTAAAGCAGCATTGACCAGTACTGTTGAGGTAACTGAAGTTGAAATGATGCTCATAGAAGAAAGAGAACGTGAAGAAAGAATAATGAGAGAACTTGGACTTCAAACACCTGTTGGACGTCATAACAGAAGATTTACTAATTCATCATCTTCGGGTTATGACTCTTTGTCTGATTCTAGCAGTTATTCTGCATCAGAAACATCTTATTGTGAATATGGTTATGGTTCTAATAATAGGTTTGCCTCATCAACAGGATATGACCCTCCTTTAAGATATGGGTCAACAGCTCATTATTATTCACCCATAACTTATGGTTCACCTGGAATATATTCTTCATCTGTAGGTTATAACAATAGTAACAACAATAACAATCATCGTCATCATCATAATCATCATTCATTTGAAGGTTATAACATGTTAGGCAGTAAATCTTCGAATGAATTTTCCAGTCCAATCCCAAGTAGATACCATGAAATACCACCATCACAAATACAGTCAATACAATCAATCCCACAATTTGCTTATAATAATTTGATTTCAAATAGATATAATGTTGCTTTATCAACTGGTTATGCTAACTCGCCATTACCATTGCCATCACAATCAGCATCATCATCATCAATGGGAAATTTTGTTCATAACCAAGTAGGAGGAGGAGATTTTGGATTGAGTTCCGGTTGCTTTATGAATAGATATAGAGCAAATTCCCAATATGGTTCTGGTGAAATGTTTAATAATAATAATGAGAGAGATATATAATAAATATAGTGAATATTGTAATAGATCTTTAATATTTTTTAGATTTCTTTGGATTAAAAGAGAATCGTTTATTAGGTATTGATTGGTGTGAAGTGAAAAAAAAATCCATTTCAAAAAATTTTTTTAATGGACAATGAAGTTAGTCTTTATTTGTAGTTATGTTTTTTTTATTTTAAATCGAAAAATTATTTTTACTAATAATTTCTTTTTTTTTAATTTTAAAAAAAGAAAATTTTTTTGTAAATATTATTTTAAAAATCCACCCCCTCGCTTAATATTGTAAATTATCCAAAATTTTTAGATTCATTGCTTTTTTTATTTGCTTTCCTTGTCTCCTTTACATTTTACATTATTTTATAAATTTCCCTACTCTTTATTATTTGTTATATTTCATGATAATAAATAAAAAATTTGCTATTATACAAATAATAATGTTGAGAGAATGCGGAATAATTACAATACATGTTTTAGTATTAATTACATTATTATTATCATTTATATTTATAAACTATGATGATATACCTGAACAAGTTCCTCCTAGATTTACTGGATATCCACAATGTCGTGTTGATGTTATTAAAGTAAATATCTTTATTATTACAATTTATATCAATTTTTTTTTCCATAATATAATAATACAATTAATTAATTAATCATCCAAATTATTGTTATTAGATTAGAATCAAGAAAGTTATGATGCATCATTATCATTTATGATAATTGTTACATTAATATCAAGTTATTACTCATACAAATGGGTAAACAATCAAAATATAACAGACAAAAAAATACATCACATATTTGTATCAAGAGAATGGAGTAGAATATCATCAATCTACTTTAATTAATTTTTATTATTTGATTTTCACAGCATTGACAACCATCACATTGTTGATATTTGATATTGGCAAATTATGGGATTTACATATTATTGGTGAGGTGATTGTTGTGTTACTGTTGTCACAAGGTGGTAGGATCTCTTCATATTGGTTTTATGGAATAGTTGGTGGCTATACATTCCTTGTCGATGTTATAAATATTAGCTTGTCATGGCCTTATGATGCTATATGGTTTAAATGGTAAGGTAAATATGTTTATTATTTGAGAAATGTGAGGTTGAGAATATACATATATTTTACTAAATACTAAAAAATATTTAATTTAATTTAAATTTGTTTTGTTTTATAGGTATTTGCTCAGATTTTTCAATGTTAATAGTATTCATACGTATTTATTTATCAACAAGTGAATATGTCAGGGAACAAACATCAACTCAACTACCAATTATAGATGATGAGGATATGAATATGGAAAATTCATCATCAAAAATGAGGAAAATTCAATTGCATCAAAAATAATAAATCATCCTAACCAATTATTGTTATTGTGTTTGCCTCTTTTATTCATATACCTGGTAAATCTTGTGCATACATTTGATCCATTTGATGGTAGAAGGTAATTATTTATTTTTGTTGCTTTGCAATGGAAGAATAAAATTATTATGTGATTAGAAGATTAATTATTAGTTAATTCATTGACTCACTAATTCAATATTTATCCTATTTGCTCTCTTCTTATTTAATTATTAGGTATATTATGTTAAATCTAAGTTATGCTATAATATTCCCATGTATCACACTATACATTTATCTTGATACACATTGTACAAGTGTTTTGCAATCAAAAAGAATTCTATTAACTGACACTCCAGATTGGAAAGTTATTGTTATAACTATTATGTCTATTATTTTTGCTACTTTTGTTATTAGAATTCCCTTTCTCATTTTAATTAATACATAATAATTTGATAATTTAATATATTTAAAAAATTTAATTTAATATTTTGAAATAAATTTTTATTTTATTTTATACTATATTAAAAAAATAAAAAATTATTCATCAACAATCAATTGTCAATGTTTCAACTTGATCTTCTAGTAATCCTTTAAATACTTTGAAATGATGATTCAATGAATTATGAGTATGTAATTTAAAACATGATCCTAAACCACCAGCAACTATACTTGACTTTCCATAAAAAACTCGCCCAATACGTGAATGTAAAAGTGCCATTGAACACCTAAAATAACAATAATAAATATTGTAATCATTATAGTTATTATATTTATTGTTTATTGTTGTATGCAACTACTTACATTATACAAGGTTCATGGGTAACAAATAAGTCATATCCTTTACACAAATATGCTGCTACATCATTTGACAATTTCTCTGGTTTTGATACTACAACAACATCATCATCATCATCATCATCACCATCATCATTAATTTTTTCATTCACTAATCTCTTTCCCGACCTCTTCTCTTCAACACCATAAACACAATCAACATCAACACCAACAACATCAACATTATCATCAGTAATCTGTATTATTAGTTGCTGATCATCATCATCAATTTTTCTTTTTAATGTATTTTGGTGACCATAATCATGCTGAGTTGTAAATGTATTACAATTTTCTACAGATGTAACAACATCTAAACATTTAATAATTGCATGTTTAAGTGGATGTCTTGTGGTTGTTCTTGAATCATAACATTCTGCTAATATTCTTGAGCCTTTTGGATCTACTATTACACAACCAATTGGAATCTTTAAAATTATTAATTGATTTGGCTTGGAATTATGAATGAGCACAAAAATATTGTAATATCAATGTATTCAATATCAACACACCTCTTGATTTGATTTACCTAATTCAGCTAGTTCAATAGCTCTTTGCATATATCCTTTTAGTATTTTTATATCTTTATCTGTAAAATTATTTCTGCTATATTTGTTATTATGAACATAGATAGGTTAAGTTTATAAATTTCTGTAAGAAATATATATCATAATTATAAAATAAATAACAAACATCTCCTTCATTCTCCTTGCTATACCCACTTTTTAACATTCTCATGGTAATCAATTGGCCATAATTGTCTCCACTCATAAAATTGAGATTTAGTTATAGCAGGATATTTTGGAATTTGTTCAATTCTAGGAATTAATATTGAATCAAAATTATGTTTCTTGATCAATAGCAATAAATCATCAATTGATGGTATGTCTTTAACTAAACATATCAATGCTGTTAATATATATTTATTATGATCCTCATCTTTATATTAATAGAAAAATTATAATTAGGGTTTATCTCTTATTTCAATGTTAGTGATTGTGTATGGTATGTAGGTACCTTCTTTACTTTTGTCATCTATGTTATTTAATGTTGTTCTTTTTATGCGTTTAATGTGATTTAAATTTTCATCATTTGGACAATGTTTTTTTATAAATCTAATCAATCAATCAATTAATTAATCAAATAAATAAATTTTAATTTATTGGATATTTAAAAATAAAAAAATACTTTATAACATGATTTGTTTCCTCAGGCTTTATATCAGACACATAAACATCAACTTTTCAAATTTTAATTTTAAAAAAATAAATGAGTAAATCATTTGGGAACATTTTATATAAATATGATATGATATAATATATAGTATCTTTATTTGCCTGTTTCTAATCCTCTAGTTTCTTCATCTGATAACACAGGTTGAAAAATATTGATAAACTTCTTATTATCATCCATCATCACAATAAAGTTTCGGGGAAGTTAAAAATTTTATTATTACCAGTCATCCGTGATTCCACGGGATCGACATGCCTTGTGAAACATTTCAATTTTTACTATTAAGATCGAAGGGAAATTTTTATTTGCTACTAGCAAAACCACATGACTTTTCAGAACAAGGAGTGTTACACGCGTTGTTTGAGATTTTAAATCAGTGCAATATTTTGGTAATATTTAGAAAGAATTGGCAACGATACTATCTCTCTCTGGAAATTTTCGAAAGAAAAGGAAAAATTTCGTTTCACAAAATTGATTGTTGCGTTGTATAAATCATTTTTTGATCACTCTCTCAATTTTTTTTTAAAACGTTCAGAGGTTGTATTTATAAGTAAAAAAAAAATGAAAAGAAATCACTTGATTAAAATCGAGCCTTTTCCAAAAATGTGTTGTTAAAGAAAATTAATTAAGCTTTTTTTGAA